CTAATGGTTGATAAACTACAATTACTGAAAAAGTTAGAACTGACAAACACATAACTGTCTTCAAACATGGGAGATATAAATATAATTTTAACCTTGTGATAAAATTGTCATTTTGAACCAGAGACAGTTATACAAACACTGTATGTTTTTTTTTTTTTTCAGAATTTACACAATGTTTACGTCGCGCGCCTTACGTCAACAAGCACGTGCTTTGGTATTATAATAGAATTGTATTGCGTCACCATGATTACGGGAAGTTTACTTTCTCACGTGCCAACAATGCTGAATTATTTCCTTCCTTGTTATGCAATTAACCTTCCCAGCATATACATGGACTACTTTACCCCATGTCAAGAGGCCCAACAGGAAAGGGAAAGAACCAAGCAATTCAAGTATATAGTGCTCTTTCTATACTTTGGCAAAAATTATGATGAAAAAGTTGAAAAAAACCAGAATAAAACGTAGTTTGACAGTTTCATTATAAATAGGTATTTTTGTAAAATTTTACCTACAACTAGTTCTTTATTCTCTACTACGAATTAACAGGCTGAAGTTATCACTCTGTTATGTATCTGCTTGTTTGATAATTTCCCGTAAAAATTCTTTCCGAGAAACTTCAACGATACAAGTCCTTTCTTAATTAAACTAGTTTATTCTTTCTCGTTACAAACTTTGTAATACACTTAATTTTCACAGTCACTTTAAACTTAACTACTTTTATAAACACACGCTATAATTCACAGCGATTCACACACTTTACTTAAGGTGCCTGCTGCTTGCTTGACTCGATTCTGTCTCTTCAATCTATCTCCGGCTTATATACTAAAAAAAGAGGGTGTCTAGCAAACGCTGGGACATTCGTGAGGTTGCCCACTAAGTCACGATCCTTCTAGAAACCCCAGCGCATATGCTCCCTGCGTCGCGCGACTTCTGCTGTCGTAACGCTTCTCCTACGCTTCAGGATAAGCCAAAGTAAACCAGTATCTTCGGCATTTGTTAAAAAGAACGGCGATAAGCTACTGTTTTTAACCATAGTGCTGCATTGTTTTATTAAAAACTTTAAAACATGCTACTGAGTGATTTATGATTCAACATTTTGGTTGATTTTAAAACTTTTCTACACTAGATGATGTCATGAAACTTACAATAACCCACGAATGTTGTTTTGGGAATTGCTGTGCTTGTTAACGTATTTGTTAAATTATTTTACTTTTATGTTATTTATATTAGAGCTTGTATGGGGTACTGACATTGCTGATTTACCTGTAGTTTCCCGCTAAGTACATAGCTTACTCTGATTGAAAGTTAATATTATTCACATGGTTAAGACGTGACATCAGTCTTAACTCCAACTAGTATAGCATTAGCTCAATCTTCCCTGGTATATTTCATTATGGTACACTTGGTAGAATAGACTTTGTAACGAATTTGTTATTATATATTTATTTTAATATCAAGGTTTGTTTAGATTAAATTTATATTCAGAAACATGCATAGCCT